ATGATCAGTCTTCAAATAAAATAAATTCATTCAAATAAATTGATTAAAAAATACAAAAATTAAGCAATGAATGAATTTAAAATTCCTACAATAAATACTAAAAAAATCCAAAGAGAAGCACCTGAAAATACAGCATTTTTAGTATTTGACCAGCCTTCTGGTGATGCAAGTATAACTGGTACACCAACAACCAGAATAAAAGAAATAGCTACTAGTGCAAATAAAGCAAATTGAAAAGCAATTATCATACTAATTATTCTCCAAACAAATTCAAGTACTATCAGTAGTCTATTATTCTATATAGATTTTTTTTTTTTTCATAGCATAGATAATTAGAGAGATCTAATATCTATATTCAAAAATCTATATTCTCTCTCTCTCTCTCTCTCTCTCTCTCTCTCTCTCGGGTGCGCGTGGTGCACGTGTATCCGATTAACAAAAAATTATGCTGTTATGACCTTTGTGATGCTCCGAATACCGAAATTGTTTATGCGGTGAACCCAATCAACAAGAGGATCATTTCCTATTTGAGATCAGATCACGGATTAACAGAGATGATGATGACCGGACCATTTGTTGTGCATCATTTTTTCATGTCGTGTTTGCCACGTCTCTGTGCAGGGAATCAATGTGTTCAGGTTTGCAAATCGGATCCCCCTTTTGTTTGAAGCAGGTGGAGATGTCATCACACGCACTGCTCTGAAGCGTATAAGGTAACTCTCTCATGGGAGAAGGGGAACCTGTGATCCATAATGTGAGGGTTGTTCAGAACTCGCCCCTCGTCTGTTCGACCCCTCATAAGGGGCCGCTGTCTCTCTCTTTGCTGCATCCATTCCTCTCCCATTTGGATGGCACAATGTGCTTGGTCATCTCAGAAAGGGTATCCAAATGCGAGCAAGAAAATTCCTTGCCCCCCAGGTACCCAAGTGGTGCCTGTCTACACACCCAGCCGCCCGCTCGCCCAGCCGGACATGACCCTCGGGTGGGGCCGCAGGCAACCTTAGGGCAAAGAAGAAGGGGAAAAAAAAGCTGCATCGAACAGTGAGGGAAACCACTTTTGACTGAGAGTCGCCTCAGAATTCATGATTGAATCGAAGGAAAAAAAAAAGGAAAGTTTTTAAAAATAATGAAGTTCAAACTAAGGCACTTTTGTTCAAATTCGAAACCCATTTATACCCTCACTGCGAAACCCATTTAAACCCATTGAAATTTGAAACCCATTTATAATTTTGTTACGATCCTGGTCATTTCCCAAGTGCAAATTCACAATGAAAGACAATGCCACCCAATTGCGAAAGAAATGAAAGCACTTGCAAGAGATAAAGACCAGAGGAGAGGTAAAGAAGAAGAAGAAGAAGAAGTACACCAGCAAGACCAATGACAATTCCCCCTTCTCTCTCCACCTTCCTCCTTCCTCCTTCTCTTCACCAATCTTATTCTTCTCTCAACAATAATAATAACAATGAATGGATGAACCAGAATCAATGTCCGAAGTTCCCCACCATGGCTACGTCCTCCCTCCTTCAACCTCCTCTCTCAAGCATAGGCCATGGCGGACTACTAGAAGGCAGCTATGATAAACTGCCCTGATGCCGAAAGACAACCCAAAGCAGCTATGTCGCTGCTTGACTTGGTCCGCTATGCCTGACTCTGCCCCGAGCTGCCCTGGTGCAGCGTTACCCCAACCGGGGCCTTCCAGATGCATCGCTCAACAAGGTGATGAAGACGGTGTCCACCATAGCCAGGTAAGTGCCCTACCACTCTCCTACCATGTCCCCCTTCTTCCTCCTTCAAGCTGGGGTGCTCGCCATAGCCAGGCTGAGCCCCAGCAGACCTTCACCTCCAAGCAGCGCTGCCTCAGACCAGCGCTGCGCTCCAGCAGCATGTCGCCAATCCTTGCATACCGCAAACGAGGAAGCGGCCTACCGGCCTCCTGGGCGGTGACTTCCTAGGCCAAGCGGCCTCCCAGCAACCGGTACCTCCCTTTTGGAGGGAAACATCATTGCAGGCTCTGTTATTGTCCGCATAGGCCCTAGACCCGGGCTACTTGGACTGGTACCGGCTTACCTCTAACCTACTGCTACTGGGCCTCTAAAAATGCCGACTTTTTGTCTTCTTCTGCTCGGCCTACCTGCTACTTGAGTGTTTTTCCCCAGCTGCTCTAAGTGCCGTGGGCCTACTCCCCGCTACCGGCATGTTTACCCCCCTGCAACCCTCCAAAGTCACGGCCACAGGTAAGTACCGGCCCGGTGGGCCTTGCAACCAACAAGTACCCTGGCGGGTTACACACATACCCAACCAGCAAGCACTCAGACAGGCATGCAACCCAGCAGACACGCACACACACACATCCGGCAAGCACTCAGACAGGCATGCAAACCAGCAGGCACGCACACACACAGACTTGGGACCACAGCAGAATGGGGGAATCACAGCAAGGCATTCGTTCCATTGGCAAATCCCAGAAATCAGCAGTGTTCTCAGTCTGTGTTTTGGGCGGGTCATTACAATTTTATACCCCCTACGAAGGAATGTAATAAAAATCAATGGACAACACTGAAAACTGAAAAAGAGCCTGGGTTTAGTCTTCTCTCGGTGAGCACAGAAAACCCTCACTGCCTAAAGAAACAGAAAGAAACATTCCCGACTTTCTTGCATGCCCAGGTGACCCAGGCAGCACAGGGTGATCTTCCTTGCATGGATGTTAGCCGGCCTTGTGGTTCACACTTCTAGCTGTTGATTTACTGCTGATCGACGGGGCGTGAATACGAACTTCAACCATACTTGCGGCGCATCTCATGCGCGGGGGCGCGGCACATGCGGCGCAAAGCGCACGCGCATGAGATGCGCCGCACGTGATGCGGCGCATCAAAAAAAAAAAAAAAAAAAAAAATTGAAAGTTCAGAGTGGGGTGG